TGGAGGGAGGCGGGAGGAGCAACGAGAATAGCCTCAGGGGTCTGGGGGGAGCAGCGGCAGGCTGCCAGGGTCGTGCCCGAGGCCCCCACTGGGGCTCTAGGGCTGTGTGTGTGTTTTACCCTCAGCGGAGGGTATTTTTTCCATTGCTCTTCAGGGAGGGTGGACGGGAGAGAGAGACACCTCGAGGGCTCGCTGTCCACACTCGGTCGGGGGGCTGGGGATCGAGCCTGCAGCCCAGGTCCCTGCCCTTGCCTGGGAATCAAACCTGCGACCTTTCAGTGCCCGGCCGGCCGGCGCTCCAGCCGCGGAGCCACACTGGCCAGGGCAGGTCTTGGGCTTTAACACCCGCGGAAGGGGCGGGAGGCAGGGAGGGGGCCGTGCCCAGGGACCGGTCGGGACGCGGGGCTGCAGGTGCACAGGGAGACGGGGGAGTCAGTGCCTCGGTCTGGATTCTGGGCGAGGGGAGGACATGTCCCCGGGGAACCTGGACACGAGGCCGATGGTCACCAGGTTGGGTCTGACCCGACCGCCTGGGTTTAGAAACAGAGCTGGACACTTAACATAGGAACGTGTCCCCGGCTGGCAGGGTCCACGTGCCCCGCTCAGCAGCGGGTCCCCAACTCTGACTCGGAGGGAAGGGCTCTTGGGGACGGCAGGGGGTCCGGCCAGAGGTCACTCAGACTTGGATGCAGAGCAGGAGGGGCCAGCACAGCAGGCCCAGGCCCAGACCCTGGACCCTCAGGCCCTGGAATTCCTGATCCGAGGCCCCAGAGGACGCAGCCTCGGGTGACAAACCAGAGGGTTACAGACACGAGGAGGGGACCTGACGCTGCGAGAAGGACCAGCTGTCTGAAGAAACACTTAGAAATGAGAAATATGGCAACTGAAGGAAGAGGCCCCTGAGCGATTACAGCAGCCAGCTCGACGCAGCCCAGGGGTGAGCCAGAGACGTGCTGAGGAAGCGCAGGAGGGAGCCCCGGTCAGAGACCAGGGCCTGGGGAGGGGACGGGGCCTGGGGAG